ACAATAATTGATTAATTGTTTGAGTAATATTTCATTAACACACAGTAACACTTCGATCATAAAATGTCAAGAAGAATATTACTGGGGTGACAGTGGCGTTGGATGTGGGAGTTTGCCCAGAAATCGAAGGGTTGACGGTTCAAGCCCCGTTTCCGACTTTCAGTGTCGTAGTGTCCTTGGGCAAGACACTTCACCTGCATTGTCTACTAATGGTGGTCAGAGGGCCCGGTGGCGCCAGTGTACGGCAGCCCCACTTCTGTCAGTGAGCCCCAGGGCAGCTGTGGCTACAATGTAGCTTGCCACCATCAGTGTGTGAGTGTTTGCGTGAATGGGTGAATGAATGTAGTGTAAAGCACTTTGGTCAAGTGTCCTGACTTGAATAAAGGCGCTAGATAAGTACATGCCATTTACCATTTACCATTTGACTGTTTTACTTTTAAAAAGTTGTCCTACAAGCCCTAAAATTAATAACCAGCTGATTTGATAGACAATATGGTTACCTTTGCAACAATGACAAAAACAATGCTCTGCATAATCTTCTGACATCTGACAACAAATGGTATGTGCCATAAAGCCATTTCACTCAGACACACGCCACAGAGGCAAGTCAGGAGTTGGAATTATAAGCAAGCTAGCATTGATCGATAGCGTTATTTAGAGGAATATTTTATCACATATTGGTTATCAATTAATCATATCAAATTCACAGTGACTTCTCTTTGAAGTATCTTTTTTTTGCATATTATTTCAGCGACTGAAAAGGTCTGCCCTGTTTAATACCCATTATCTCTGCACCTTCCATGAGCTTATCTACAAAGAGACACAAATACTGAAGTCTCACACACAGATCCGGCGATCAATCTCAACTCGGAAACAAATGTGTAAATCAGCAGGAAAATAATTGAATCCCAAAATAACTTCTTGTTCCCTCCTCCCCAACCTAAAAATCGAAAAAAAGGGAGCTCGATAATGAGTGCAGGCAGAATCTAGCTAAGAGATAAGAAGGTGCTCTGCTTAAGAAAACAAACCAACATACAATACTCATAAAATGCTAACGTCTACCAGCTTAAGGACCTCATGAAGTGGACAGAGTCATTTTACATAAGGGCTCTGAGACACATCCTGTCAACCATCACATTAATGTTTGCTGCTGCAATGCTTTAATGGGGCTTTGTGAGATGGCTCTTAATCTGTTAAGGCTGTGGTGCTTTAACACACAGGTACTGTACACTCACACGTTACACGAGGTTTTAATGATCTAAAAATAGACAAGTGGGCAGAAAGCAAAGAGGCACAAAGAGAACATCTGCATTTGGGCACCAGCAGGTTTACCAAACCACTAACCTCACCTACTGTTTAATATATATATATGTTAGGGATGTCCTGATACAACTGTTTAGTCATCAATATGATAACATTATTGCAGATATCTGTAAACACAGACACACACACGTGTGTGTGTATATATATATATATATATATATATATATATATATATATATACACACACACACACACACACACACAAAC